AAAGTGTCGTGCATATCTGTCGTGCACTGTAGTGCTTTTAAACGCACTACACTCTTCTTCAAATCCATGTCAAGAAACCATCAGCAGTAGAATCTGACCAAAACAATCTTTTTTAATTTCGACTGAAACCGAAAACGAATATTCTAAACGTTTGGATATTATAACTGAAGTTTCAAACTACAAGAAAAAATACTTTTATCTTTGATTTTAATTCGCATTATACTTATAAATAATAAAGGTGTCCAGATATAGGTACATGTCCAGGTATTGGTACCTTTACCTTAATTGAAATAGTTTTTGTATTTATAAATAGTATTTGTTTAATAGTTTAGGACCAAATCAATTTACTTTTTATATGTTTATTTTTTATATTTTTTTTACTTACACTTTGTAAAAATTATCTGATAAATTAGGTTTAAAATAAGTTAATGTTTAATAAAAACAAAATATTCACATTTATTTATAGTTTTGTTATTTTCGAACCGTTTTATCTTTCTTTTCTTTTTCATAATTTGAATTTCTTGGGCGATGGTGTCATTTCTTTGTTTGAAATATATGTTCAGCGAAATATTAGAAAAATTACATTATTAATAACATCGTTAGTAAATTCTTGATATTTTGTTATGTTTCTTTCGTTTAAAAATAGATCTCCTGTGATACTTTTTCTACTTACAGTTTCTAAAACAGCTTTCCGTAAAGTTCGTTGTAAAAATTTATTTTTATACTGTTCTGAAATAAACTCATGAAAGCTACTATAAATATTGGCAGAATTTGTCCGCTGTTTTCTCTTGAAAATTACACTATAATCTTTATATATTTAATTTTAGAATCCATTGTTTCTCCATAAAATAAAAAATATGTACACTTTTAGAATAAAATAGTTCGAAGTATTCGAACCTTCCCACTATATCATATTTCTGCTTCCACGCGAGATGAGATGTCACATATGGATTTACAACTTTCCACGCGTGGAAAGTTCACGCATGTACTTTGCAAGGCGCACTATGTGTCCAGTTGTTGGGAAAGATTTTTACAAAGATTTTTACTAAAAGAGTCGCAAAAAATATTAAAATTTGGAAAAGGCTCTATTCTAAATAATTACCTACAATTTATTTCCACTTTCCTAAAAAGTGTTCAAATCAATTTCCTAGGCAAATAGCATTTGAACATAAATAAACGGGCGAAAGCCATTTGACCAGGCAGATAGCATTTACCTAGTCAAAAGCTGTTTTCCTTATATAACCATTTGCCTACGACACACATATATATATATATCTTTATGGTTCGGCATAAGTTGGGGCCAACCATAAGCGATGTGTAGATACGTATACGTTGATATTGTAACTTGTATTTCGGAAGTATTTTCCATATGTAATCAAAATACAAAGATATATCAAAATTAAGTTTCCTTATATGATTTGTTAATTGTCGGTACCACTAAAAAATACATAAAAATATGATTATAAGCAACGAGATAAGCAATATACATAACGTGAAATGCAGTATACATGTTTTTGCAATAGCTATTTACATCGTATTTCGTAGTTAGTTATTGTTTGTACACATTATACACTCGTACAAAAAAAATAGGGAACACTTCATGAACCCTAAAAATTAGGCTATTTTCAAACTGCTGTAAGTCGGCGAAAAATTATCGTAAAAAAAAATCTAAAAAAGCATTTTGAAGCTTGAAGTTTCAACTTTAACGCACTTTCGGTGGATTTAAAAAATTTTTTTATTTTCTATGTTGTACGCCTTAAAAAAGAACACATTGTTTTGTTCCTTAAAATTAACTTATGTTTGACTACTTGAAACTCAATTAAAAAATTTTTTTTCAAAAAATTCAATTAACGTTTCATAAACTACATAATATTACCTACAAAATGCTTTTTTTTTAATTTTCCTACGATTTTTTTTGACCGATTTACACGACTTTGAAGCAAACCCTGCATTTTTTAGAAAAATTGACGTAACTCGATGAAAAATCATCGTCGAAGCAATAGATTTGTAAAAATTATATTCCAAATGTAAATAAAATGTATATATAAGAAATGAGAAAACAGTTACGAACAGTCTTTTTCTAACAATTATTAAATATTATATCGAAATTTTTATTTAAAATGATAATGTAGCAATTCTATATACTTAATGTGATGAAATACCTGAAACAAATATATTATTTATTCCTACAGTTATTACAGAAAAAGTTAAAATATTAAAGATTAAAAATATAAAAATATATTACAAAAATGAACTAATATATTATGTAATCTATTGCCTTGAAATGGATAGGCTCGCGGAAATAATCAACTCTAGAGCCTAGAAAATATTTTTATAATTTATGTGAATAAAAGTGGAGGTAGGCTGACTAGGCACGGTCTGTCATCACTGATTTCGACTCGTGATTCTCAGGATTGGACGATGCTCCGTTCGCGATCGCAAAGATGCTCGGTTGCCTGTTTTCGGCATTCATAGTAACGTTTCCTGTTTCTAGAGATCTTTTGTGAATTTTCCGCAAGATTTTTTCGGAATGAAAACGATTCGGATGAGGCTAGCGATTCGCTATCACTTCGGTGATTTATCCGGTCAATTATCGGTGTTTTTATTTTGAATGGATTGAATACTTACAATTACCGTTACGGAGAGGAATCTTCGACGAAGCTCCGATTAATCGGCCATTTTAACTTGTCGAATAACGCCACTTTATTAACATGGATAAAATTACGTGGATTTTTTTTGTTTGACACATGATGGTTCAGAACAATTTTTTTATACATATAGAGTGGGATCCGCTTGGCGCTCCAAATGCTCTTGGAAACATTTCATCCTTGTTTATCAAATGTTAAACAAGGACAAAATAATGCTCTGGACCGTTTGAAACGTCTAGTGGGTCGCGCCCATAATCGAGCGTTTTATCGCGAGCAATTCTGCCTGTTGAGTTAATCGCCGATTAAGTTAACACGGTGACTGCCGAATACGAGTTAATTCGTAGTTGTTGATACATAAATAAATTTGAGTTATTTGTTAATTCGCTTTTTTTGAGCGAAGAAAATAAAATTTTTCTTGTGTTTTGGTTTTGATAAAAAATAAACACAATTAAGTAGCATATTAAAATATAATGCCGATGCAGAAATGGCGTCGGAAATAAAATTAATTAAAATAAATATATAGCAGCAATCAATAAGTTAATCAAAGCGTGCTTAAAGTTACTTTTAATCTTTTCCGAGTAAGAAGGAGAAGTGGTTTTGATGTGGCCCTTATAAAGCTTTCTTGGTACCTATAGAAAACATTTATGATATTTTATAAATGTACCAGCCAAAAATGATTGGGCGAATCGATGTCAACTCAACGTCGATGCGTCGACAAATAGTCGATGTCAAATATTAGTTGATATTTTGTCATCTTTAACTTCATCATAATTTTATTGATTTCTATATCTAGGAATAGTTCTGGACTATCTAAGTAACGTCTGTCTATCTGTCTGTCTGTACGCGAACTACTCATTCGTTAGTGGACCAAATTTTTACCAAAAGTATATGAAATAGGGGTAGAATTTTCCGGGGATGAAAATGTCGCGGCTTTTTTTTTGTTACCGATCTTTTTGGAAACCGGTTCCGAAATTTTTTCAAATTTTACGAGAATTAATTGACCAAATTTCAAAGAATTGTATATGAAGTAAAGGTAGAATATATATATATATATATATATATATATATATATATATATATATATATATATACATATATATATTGTCCCAGAGAGTGCCATAAAGTGTACAATTTTTCGTTACCGATCTTTTTGGAAACCGGTTACGAAATTTGTCCAACTTTTCGGGAATTAATTGACCGAATCGTAAAGAATTGTATATGAAGTAGGTTTAGAATATTTCCCGGGAATTGCTATAAAGTGTATAATTTTTCGTTACCAATCTTTTTGGAAACCGGAATTAACTAGTTACTTCAATTCGTGACTGTCGCGAGCGATTGTTCGCGTCAGACAGACAGACATATAGACGTTAGGTACTTATAATACATAGGTCTAGTTTACACCGATCTCTTGATACGCGTATCAAATAGTATATTTGAACTGATCAGCCAATAATCAGACTTATTTACTAGTTATTTACTATTTAATACGCGTATCAAGTGATCGATGTAAACTAGGTCATAGATAGTTGTAGAAAGAACTAAAGAATGTAATAGAATTAGAAAAATTGCTAATAGTAAAGTGGTTTACAATTTCTGTTAAAAAAATATATACGTGATTGCTCCAATTTCCGCAAACTTTGAAATATCAAGCTGAATTTTTTTATGGATAATTTTTATGGATAATTTTTTGTTACCAATTTTTATAGAAACCGGTTTGGAAATTATTAAAATTTTGAGAAATAATAAGTATTAATTGACCGATTTTTTTGAAACCAGTGCCAAAAATTTTTAAATTTTTGGAGGATAAGTTTAATTTTTTATTAATGGATCGATTTTCTTGAAACCAGTGCCAAAATTTTTCTAATTTTTTGTTGATGATTTTGATGAAATTAGTACCAAAAGATTACTAATTTTATGGAGATGGCTACTATGGAATTGAAAATTGGGTTTTATGGGGTTCTATTGGTGCTCCTAATTAATGAGTGAGTTTGGGGAGAGGAGAAAAGATTTTGAGCCCGCGCGAAGCGCGGGCGAAAAATGTAGTATATACATATACAGAGTGATTCTAAATAAGTGCGAAAAACTTTGGGAGATGATTCTTTGTCAAAAATTAAGAGGATCTTTCATGTAAATATATATTCCTATATCTTTTCCTGAAGAGTACACACATCCAAATTTTTACTTTCCCCCTTTGAGTAGGTATATGTTTGTATGAAAAAACTTCCTTTAATTTTTGACAAAGAATTATCTCCTAAAATTTTTCACACTTATTTAGGATTACCTTAGAGAATAGAAGAAAGAATATAGAAAAAAGAGAGAGAGGGGCGGAATTTTACACAGAAACACGGTGTCTACGAATATAATTGATTTATTACGCTCGTAACTCTCTGTTCTATACACTATAATTCTACGCTAAAGTCGACAAAAATTGGCTAACGCTTTGGACTACCCGGTATGCAGAATTGGTTTGATTCCTCGTCAAAACTCGTCGTCGGTGATAATTAATTATAGTGTATTTTAGCTATGTACACTTTTACTGAGTTAAAAAAATCTCGTTTCCTTGTCACCTTCCGCAAAAGTAACTTTAATAAAATAGCTTCTACATTCTTTTGCGAAATTTCATAACAATTTGCTAAAGATAGAGATACAGGGAGGAAGTAGATAGGAAGAGAAAGAGAGAGAAAATCGAACAAAAAAAAACGGAGTAAAAAAAGAGAATAATAGGTGAAGAGCGTTAAAAATCGTGGCACATTATTAGAAACCATGCTTAGTGCTCGCTTAACGTTAATAATAATCGTGTTTTTCTATGTACAATTTGTAAACGCATCGTTAAAGCTAAAGTATATATAAACGTTTACGTTACATGCTACTTAGATATGTGTTGTATACATAATATAAAAAAAGGTGTACTCGTCGTCGAAGACGAAACGGGAAAATAATCCCTCCTAATTCTACATGACGAAAATGTAAGAGTGATAAACGGCGTGGGGGCCTGTGAATCCAAGGATCTGTGTAAATCGAGGGATCTACGTTAAGATCAGAAATTTATAGCACCACGGATCTAGAAATAGAACAACATATTTGCGGAACCACAACTCGTACGACGCAAACGCGATTCGTGGATCTGAATTTATTATATTCCGAGCGAATATATTAGTATCTATGTATGTATCTAGATTCGTGGGAATTTATAGATCTGAGGATACCCCGGGAATTTATAGATCCCAAGAGAGCGATCGCGCGATCGCGGATTTATGGATCAAAAGATTCGTGGAATTGTAAGCTCGTGAACTAAAGGAGCAACGCGTTTAAAAAACCGTTTAGATTTGCGATTTACGGATCTCCGGATTTAATCGAGTTCGAATATCTTGGAAAGCGAGAGTTTGAGAAATCACAGATCTATGATTCAAATAGATTCGACGAATCGTTGTACTGCAACTGACGCGGAGATACGCGAAAATATACGTGCATAGATATGTGAATACAGGGTTCGGTACAGACTACAGAGACACAGATCTGTGGATCCAAGGATCCGCGAATCCATACATATTTATATGTGTACATACATATACAAATAATCGATTGCGTTAAACTGGGATGTACATGCTATGCCGCGAGCCTGCTCATCGGCCGAAATACTGCACGGTGTTCCGAAACATTACAAGACATCGCCATCTGCTGCTAATTGCAAAGTCGTCCTCACGAATTCAAACATACCGATTTCGTTTTGTCAGTATGTGTTTGCTGCCCAATAGAGTTCTATTCCTGTTCCTTTCGTTTGGGTGATTGTACATAAGTCTCTCAGTGAAGTATACATATAAAATTCATAAGGCAACATTTACAATTATTAAAAAATGTCGATGATAATTATGCGGTTACAATACAATCAATGATACTACATTTTGTCAAACACGGTGTGTCACCTCAATTTTGTTCGATAATAATTCAACGTCCCACACAGAAGGGACGATCCTAAAGCTAAACATGTTTTCGATTCACAATAACATACGCGAATCTACATCTACGACGTAAAGGTTCAGGATTAAATTGCGCCAAGTTTTAATTTAGCGCTGGATATAAGTTTTTGCTTTTTGTGCTTCTCGCTCTGTGCGACACAAGATCATCCATTTTCCGACATTTGCACGACTCTAGCTCGACTCGCGATGCTTCCTCTCGGATCTACGGGATTTCGCGTGAAATCGGTGACGCACACATACACACACGTGAGATCCATGTTTCCGGGCGTCATGGCTGCGTACTTGTGCTGCTGTGACCCACGTGAGATTTCCATACGAATGAGCGCGAAATCACCGCCGCTCCGCGTCGACGAACAGTTGCTACTAGAGACACTCGAGTCAGAGTCTGACTGAAAAAATTCGCTATAAGAATAAAATAATAATCAGATGTGAATGACTTCTTAAAAGTAGTGGTTGTAGGTCAATGTAACCAGTCGATGACTTAAATTTCAAAGTTATGCTAATTTAGGAAGCTTAAAACTGAATTAAACACGTTTTTTGATTCTACGTAAGAGTGATCTTATTTCTACGTTGTACCCTGTATCTATAAAAAAGATTCATAAAGAAAATACTTGTAAATTCTAAATATATAATTTTTAAAGGTACCACAATAATGGAAAAAATATAATTTTGTATTTTGAAGAATATAGGTATTTTCTGGTACGAGTTATATTACAAAAGTAAATTAGAAATAAAAAAATATAATCAAAGCAGATATTGAGCTTTTTCCTCTTTTCTAAAAGCGTGCGATCCTGAAATTAACGCAACTTGCAAATCAGATTTTTATTCGATGGTAAAAGAATCTTTTTTTTGCGTAGTATTTCGTGTATATATTTTTGTGTAGTTATAATTAGCATATAATTATTTATACGATTGTTATTAATACAAAATTTGAAATTTTTTTCTCGTCATAACTATGTGAAAGTACTACTCCGGCTCGAGTGCGTCCCTAGGCACTACTCGACGTTATTAACACGGGGGCACAGGAACTTACCGTTAATGCATATTGATACGAAGTGGTGACTAGTAGATTCTCGCCAAGCACTCCGCCGCGTCCGGTCTGCGCGCTCCCGCAGACAGAAGGAGCTCTTGGGAATAGAAAGATAACATCGCGAAGAATGTTGAAGAGGAGACGTAAAGCTGGTGGCTTGCAAAGCCGAGAGAAAATTTCAACTATTTTATGCTTCATCATTGTTAACAGTTACATACGTCGTTTGTCGTAATACAACACCACGATTATTCCGACGCGGCGTGTCAGTCCGACATACGTATAGCCGTTCGTATTACATTTGCAGCGCAAGCAGCGAAACATTTTCTACCGCATTAACGGTCTATTGCCGTTTCTCATTATAGACGGCAGACTTATAAGTGCCGCGTGCATTACGTTGCTCCACGAATAAATAAGCATTTATGAATACTTATTTTGTATTAATCCCTCGCGGTATATGTCATAGGGTATTAAGAAGAGTACTACGTTCTTTGTGTTATTATTGATTGTGAGTATTTAATCGGAAGCTTTATCTCGCTCAACGAAAACTTGAGTTTCAAAAACCAATACCAAATTCCAGATAGAATTTTATTCTTCTTTGACTGTCTCGCGCGTGTGTTTCAGAATCCCATATAGCTCTACGTACAGAACAAACGCGCAAATTAATTTTAGATGTCAGTTTCAACATCGCGTCTCTTCTTCATTATTCGCGTATATTAAAACGTTATCTTAGAAAGGAGAACGGGAAAAAAGGAATGGGATCACATATATAGAGTGATTTCTCTAAATGCATGCAGAATGTACACCGAGTTCGATGCGGCCGTTCTCGCTGCACGTCCCTCGGGATAGAGGTTTTTTAGAGGCCGGACGCGGCGGTGGACAAAATGCGCGATTAATGTAAGCGGCGAGCGAAATTCGTCGGACTTATTGGCTGGTCCCAAACGGTTCGACACCTCGTGGCTTTCCGCCAGTGCGGCAGCGGGATGTCGAGTCGCTTGCATTGGTGCGCGTACGCCATAAAGGACTCGCAATAACAGTGCTGGGTCGGGCACTCACACATATCTTGAAGGCAGGCTTTGTAGTACATCGCCGGATTCACCTTTTTATGGCAGGGATAGAAGATCTGTGATTTCAGTCGATTACATAATCTGCAATCACAGAAAAGTAAATTGTTGATGGCATTGTGATAGAAAGTGTAAAGCGTTTATTTCGAAATAGGCATAGAATAAATTTTGGAAACTTTTGTTGGATATTATTAAAACGATAGATGAAATAATGAAAGAGAAAAAATAGTTGCCAGCAATAATACTGTAGTTATGTGGATTTAATTAAGAATGTTGGTTTGATAGTTTTATATCTGTATTAATAGCAACTGGCAATATTAAAGCTGTATTTTTTATAAATGTAACTATTACGAATATTAAAGAATATTAAGGACATTAAAGAAATTATTTTACAGCTATTGCTTGTAGCTATATAAAATTATCTTATAATGAAAATGTTCTTTTTATTTCTGATATTCTGTAGAAAGCTATATCAGTAAGAAAATGAATAAGTATTATATAGAATACCGCTGATCTTTTCTTTCTCGGCAACGTCTCTGCCTGGTAGTATTTCCGATTCTCGGGGTTCGGATGCACATCTTCTTGTTAGCACCCACGGCCCAGGATTGGCCAAACTGCTGCGGATCCTGCACCACTCGTCCTTGTCGTACAGTAAAGTCATCTTTGATTTGGGAATTAAAGTTACCGCAAAGACCGCACAGTTGACCTCTATACGACGAAGGCACGGACACTTCGAGAAAGCTGATACCGTCCCAAAGGACTTTGATTCCGATCCGCGTATTGACGAGCACACTCTCATCCGTACGGTTGATGTCCAGTTGGTTAGGGATGCGATAAGGAACATCCACCTTCTTCCCGTTCACCTTCACTCTCATTTTCTGGCCAAGATTCACTTTCAGATCGCCGATCTGCAACATGATCGCGCGGGATGTAAATAGAACGAAAGTTTCTTCGTTTCATCTATTTTTCGTCTGATTCGATACAATTCTTTTTGAATAGAGCAAGAGAGCTTCGTGTCAGGGTAGACTTTGTCTCGCAATGCCAGTTTATTTTGTCGGAATCTATAGTCTCATTTGCATACAATGGAAAATTATGAATTATCTTTTGAAAAACGTTAAAACCAGTTTTAAATGATATGCTATTATTCAAATAGGTGACATTATTGTATGAATGATGTGATGTTATTCGATATTCGATAAAATTCGAATGCGGTAATAATACTTTATGTAACTTCTTTTATAGCTTTCTTTAAAACCAGTTTTATGATGCTCGGTTCAAAGAAGCGAATGTTTAAATTCGTCTTGTACATACTACAATTTGTATTAAAACCTTCGTGTAATTTAACGCACCTTTATGGCAATAGTTTTGGTCCACGCTGAGAACTTCGTTCTTCTGGCGTCATTGGTCACGCGTATACTGAATGTGTGAGAGAAACAATCGGTAACCAGCTGGTACCTGCACGGTCCCTTGAAGCTATAAAATTTACCGTCGAACGTACGATAATGCGGGTCTCCGAAAACCGTGCAAACTCCGTCACCTAGAGAAATTGATAATTTTAATGTCTTAAATGTGTGTGCGCATATATACCAGTTTTGTAAGGTGTGGTAGCACCACAAAACTCACGCTCGACACATCGCGGACAGCATTGACCCTCCGGATGCTCGAACTTGGAATTTGGTGGGCAGGGAAAGATTATCGGCGGACATTGAGGCATTGCGCAGCGTACTTTTCCCTGTTTGCAGGTGCATGTCTTGCAGGAATCCAGCTTCCAATTTTCGCCATCCTGCCTAGGACAAAAAAGGTCGTTTATACCACCGATAAGACGAAACACCGCCCAATGGCAACGTAAATAGATACGAAATGAAAATATCTCGAGGAGATTCAAGCAACAAAATTAAATTTTTACTTAAAAGAATGTTAATTAATTTAATCTCAATTAATTAATTAATTTGGATCAAAATGTTATTATTAAAACAATATTCTTTAGTTTCTAATTAGAGCTATGTATGTCAAAATTTCACAGCTATCTATTCGATATAATTCCTTTAGTTCAGTTTCTCATTTTGCAATCACGTTTGCTCACGCGATGAATAAGATTGCATGACGACGAATAAAAGCGTGATACTCGCCACATAAGTTCTTCCGCCGTAAGAGCAAGAGGCTCTGCTCTCCTCGACGAGCAAGCAATTTGGACAACAGTGGCTGCCTTGCACCTGATGCTCCTTGGGACATTCCAGCACCGGACAAGTGTCTCTTACGCACGAGATCGCCGAATTGATGCATTTGCAGTGCGTGCAGGGATCCGCGTAGAACTCACTGCCCGAGTTGTATAAACGCGTGCCGAGCATGCACGCGCCTTTCGGAGGCGAGAAGAATCTTGCGCTGCCTGTGTGACAAAAGCAGTGTTTTTTTAATCCTTTAACTTGAATATGCGCTACCACAATTGATCGCGCTATAAGCGAAACGTTTTCTGAGTCGTTTTCTTGTTGTGTGGTAATTACGCGAATTATTTTCTCACGCATAAAATCATATCGAATCTATGTACAATCTACAGTGAGATACATATGAGTATCTAGAGACAATGATATTTGTAAATTTGATATTAATTTTATGTGGTATTTTTTAATTTATGCAGTCTTGACGCTATCACTCGCATTTCTATCCGACGTAATTATGATAATATATTTCATATTTTCATACTTTGCATTATATTTTAATACAGAATATGAAAGTTGTAGTGAGATATGCACAGCTAAATGGCTGTAGCGCGTATATTCTCGGATGGCTAGATGACAATCGTAATATTACGTGCGGCTGGTTTTTACGCAATTGCGACATTGGAAAATAATCAGATTCGTATAAAACCGGTTCGCGCAATATCTCTGGTATTGTAAGAGAGATCGGAATGACCTATAAATTCAAAGTGACTTTAATTGTTTGTGCAATTGCCTAGAAAATGTTCCTTTTGAAAAATGTTGAAATAAAACTCCGATCACTACTTATATATATTAATTTGATCGCTCGGCATCGAAATGCTTACGCAATAAAGCAATCTAATATCTTTATACGATGTTATAATTAGCAAGCTTATACGTCGTAAAAAAAAAAAAACAATAATGTATTATTACTGAATCCAAATTGAAAATAAAAGTAAGGATAAAAGTAATAAAGCGAAAATATATAAGCGAATAACAATACGAAATAGATTTCCTTCTTTTTAACTGCTCAATTCGAGGATCGTTATTTTGGAAACAGATAATTTCTTTTCGGAGCAGAGATGCGATATTCATCTCGAATAATGAAAGTTATGTAACTCCTTTCACCTCGACAGTGTGGGCAGCATTCCCCAGATTCATCGACGATCCTCGAGGCAGGACAATTGAGCGTCGGACAGGCTTGCTTCGCGCAGGTGAGATGCCCCTTGTTGCACTTGCAAGTTACGCATGGATCCTCCGTCGTTGTCACCGACCTGTCCTCCGTTACTTTCTGTCCATTTACTAAGCATCCTGCAAAACGCGACAAGATCGAACGTTTCGCGCTTATTGTTTGTTTATTTTTCTCTGTAACGTCTTCGGACGCGTTAAAAAATATTAATTTATGTAAAATACAGAGACGCAACATAGAAAAAGATTACAATTGTACTATTCGTATGATCTCAGAGAATATTATGACATCTTAAAGATGTCTAAAAGACGCCTTATACTTTTATAAGACATTTTATAAAACTATCAGAAAGATGTCTTATGACGTCTTTGAAGTATAGACGTTTTATTTTAATTAATTTAAACGACCACTTTTAGACATATTTTAAAATAAAAATTAATAATGCGAAACGCCGTTAACAAAAGGAAAAAGACGACAGAGGAGCTAGTGTTGCACTGTAAAAAAATGTTGTAAAATTACATGTAATTTTGAGACCCACTATAATATATGTATTGTGTAATTGTAATTACACAATACATATATTATAGTGGGTCAAAATTACTTTTAGTGTGTAACAAAATTACTTTTTCCTTCCGTACTTTAATTTTGTAAAATTACAACCATTATATTGTATAATTACAACTATTAGTGGGTCTCAAAATTACCCACTATAATAGTTGTAATTTTTTACAGTGTGCTTGATGTGAATCGGTATATAAATAATTTAATATTTATATACTTTGATAACAATCTGTCTGTTACGACGCAGATTGCGGTTTTGTCGTTAGTAAAGTTATGTAAGTGTTAAATCATTAATATACCGATGTATCTCAGATAATTCCAGCTTCTGTTTCGTATTCTTCCTCTTGTTAACGCGTTTCCGAACAGCTTCGCCTAAGATTGTTGTGACACTAAATAATGCAAAATACCTGAGTACCAGATTAGCTGGCAGTAAATATTTTTATAGGCTATGTTATATTCAAATTGGCCGTATCATGTATTTTAATCTGTAAACGTTATAGTCGATAATGTAAATTCTAAATATCTGGGTATATTCCAAAAAATGTCTTATAAAAACCAACTTTCAGACGTTTATTCGGAAAGTTTTGAAGACGTTTTTACGACGACTCCTGGTAAAGTTTTAAAAAAAACCGTCTTAAGAAAAACGTCTTTTAGACATACATGTTGTTTGGGATGTGAGATCTTACTGAGACATTGTGTTAAATTTACGTGGTTACGTTATTCCGAAAAGAAAAAAACGCGAAAGAGAACGTTACAACATACACGTTATCGTCCGTACGTTTTTCGTCGGATAGAAGCGGCGCTGTAATTTTCAATCATTATCGTTCTCCCCTCGTTATATCGGCGGAACATTCCAGTCTTAATTGCGCGGCGGGATGCATTCAGGGGATCGTGAGAAATATTTGTGAGATTGGCGTGGGTAATTAGAAGCAGCAGCAGCAGCAGCAACATCAAAGCGCGCAAAAAGGGAAGAAGAAGAAAAAAAAGTTACGCACCTTCGCATATGGGACAACATTTGCCAGGTGGAGGCGCTTTCGGATGGGAACAGGGCGTGTAACACCGTAGTTTCGATTCGGTGATGACGCCCGCTTTACAGACGAATATTCGGCAGGGATCGTTCTCCTCCGTCCATTCCGTGTCCGATGCGTGGTAAATTCCGTTCTGTATGCATCCTACGATACGTAAAAGTCAACTGAAGTTCTCTAAGTACAATCATTTACATATATGCTATCGAATTAAAATTAAGTTAGACAAGACTATTGTTAATTCGAAGATGGCATATTAATAAATTCGGACGCACGGAAAAATTATTAAGATAACATGCTTAGTTACCTGATCAATGTAAAAACAATGACCACTTTTGCTTTTTAGAGTAATACTGTTAGCGACTAGACTTTATTCCTTATATTTTGCGATTTATCTTTATATTTTCTCGGCGTACTTCAAACACTTTCCGGGTGGATTTCGTCTGCGGCAGGCGCTACGCGGCAAGCGCGGACTTACGTCACTATTAGCATAATTAATAGTAGACGATAACGAAGACCGCGCATCTGTCAGTTACATTTCGTAAACAGAGACAGCCGCGAGAGGCTGTGACGCTAAAGTTCCTCGGGTTTATCATCGTGTCGGCAAACAGAAGTGCCTTTGTGCCCCGGGAACAATGCTCCGCCGGCCGAGCATTCCGCGAGTTTTCGCCTTTCCTTCTTACCGCCGCCGACATACTCTCCCTCTCTCCCTCTCTCTCTCTCTTTTCCATTCCGGTCGCGGCGCGGGCAAGCTCGAGCCAATTAGAATGATTAGGATAATTAGACGAATTAGACGGACAAGCATTCTACCTGTGCATCTGTGGCAGCACTCGTCGTCACGCGGATCCAGCAACGCGTAGCAACCTTCGATGTTCGGGCACTGTTGCTTCAAACACTCCACGAACCCATTCTGGAAAGGAAGGGGACGAAAATTTATTTCTCTTGCTTATGGACAGGAGAGTACCTACACGAGGTGATTCAAGAGTCGCACACTTTCTATCGGCTTTTTATACGTCAGAGAAAATGTCAACTTCTGAGATAATCTGTAGATTGTACATTTATGCGTGAGAGAAAAGTTTTGATTTATTAATAATCCTGTACAAGGGTAAGGAATATCTATTTTGCCATAAATATGATTTATTACAGACTCTCGGGATATAATCCGTTGGATCCACGGGATAATAGATTCAAAGTTGATGACTTGCTGAAATTAGCAATATTACTCGCGCGGATTCGTCGAACAGATAATTTCGTCACATTTTGGCACGAGGAAAAGTCGTGATGCACGAGCCGCGAGGGAAGAATGTGGACACTCGAAATAAAACGTATTATGAATCGGGAATTTGGTCGGCGATTGAGTCACGCAGCGACAGCGAAATTCCGGCTTGATTTTTTTTTTATCGCTCGTCTTGTTCCGATTTCTCGTCCACGTTATCGCGTTCCAGTAATTATTTCTCTGGTTTTCGTTATCGGCTTCTATAATTAAGTCTTTACGGATTTATCTTCTGTCAGAATTACGTAAACTAATTTAACGTGGGTCGGACGGTCACATACATACGAGACGCGCGAGACGGACCTAATTAGGCATGCCGCGAAAGAAAGATCTCCGCTTTTTAGACTTCCTCGCATAAAACTGACGTTTTTACGCAACATGCTCGAAAATTAATTAATCATTTCCGTAATAAACGGGCGAGAAGATAAAAACAAGCAATATACCAAAACGACTAGATAAAGACTTAGGAAAAAAACAAAGCTCAGTATAAAAAAGTATCTCGCAATTACATGTGTAATAATTAAAAATTCACACATAAATTTACTATTAAATCTTTCAATCGTATTTCATTATAATATTACACATTAGGGGAGAGTTGGCAAGTACCGTGCGGTTGACAATTCCGCGCCATTGTTTATCTCAATAACTATTTGTATTACGCGCCTACAATGATGTTAATATCATAGAGTAACACGAAATACCCCACCCGCATGCGCCGTCAATGCGTTCCGGCCGTCCATGTAAACACAGTGCGCTTTGGAAGCTTCTCTGCTTGCTCGTTGCAATTTTGCTGGTAGTTTCGATAAAAGGTGAGTAACATAATATTTTCATTAGAGAAATAATCCTGACGGATTTGATAAGCTAAAACACTATAAAATTAGGTTGCAAAGTGATTTTAGAAACACGCGTTTCTTTTCTATATATTTTAAGGTTGTAAAGTGAAATAATTGAGTTTGATAATTTCGTGCCCAAAGTTGAAATTTTGAGACTGATTGAATTTTGGAGACTGATAAGATTTTAAAGTTGTTTTTGCAATTCATAGACAATATATAACGATAACTGTGTGTCAAGAGTTACCAAGACTTTTTAGTTTACAATGTAAGGTGCTTACAGAAAAGATCGTTGCTTAAGTTTTGATTTGAATTTATAATGATCGTTATTTATTAACACATTCACTTATTTTTATATGTAGGTACCTACTAGACGATATTAATGCATAAATATAAAAAAAACACTTTTTTATTGTGTTCTACTTCATGTCATTGACTGAAGCCAGAGTAATTTTTATAGGCACGATATTATCAGACTAGTTCGGTAATACCGCGTTTTCTCATTTTTTGAAAAATTGTTAATATTTCAGTTTGTGTTTAACTTTCAACATTATTGCTATGATATACGGATAGCCAAATAAATGACCTATCTAAAACTGCACAGTTTGTTTTTTTGAAGCATTTCTGAGCTTAGATATACGCTTCGGTTCTTAAGGGCTCGGTAATTGCCAACTCTCCCCTACTACAAACACATATGTATCTGTATCTTTTTGTATCGTTAAATAATAATTATCATGAGGTTTTATTTTTATTACATTATAGTTATACAGGAATGTTTTTAATGTACGAATAAATAAGTACATTACTGCAATAGGAAATTAAATAATTTTATAAACAACATAGCAATAAAACAGTTGAGAAATTAAATAAACCATCTGCACGCTGCGATAGGAAATGTGAATAAATAAACGCGCCAACATTCTAAACTAGCTAAATGTTCGTTCGTTCGGGCATCACGATTTATGATCGTGTCTCATAAATCGCGAGTGATTGATCGCGGCCGACCGCTTCAGCGCAACAAACAAATAATTATGTCACACGCCGCCGCCAGCATGCCGCTCGTTGCGGTAGCAGCAGCAGCAGCAGCAGCGGTAACAGCAGCGGTAGCAAAGCAACGGCGGCGGCGGCAGCAGCGGGGCGAAAACAAGAAGCCTCATCTCGGTCGGCCACAAGTCGACGAGTCAATGAACCAAACGCGCAGATAAATCGCCGCGGTCGCGCTAAGATCATTCGCGATGCAGTCGGTGCGCGTCGGAAGATGTGCATCGAGGCTACGGCGCGGCGGCGCGTCATGATGCACGCGCGCGGCGCGAACGAGCGACGTGCGAGCCGACGACCGACGTCTGTGTATGCGCGCGTGTACAACCGCGAATCGATCGCGTCAAACGGATTGATGTGGAAATTCCTCTCTTTGACGGTTGACCTCTCCCGAACCAGGCCAAGCTACTTTAACCCCTTTAACCGTTCCGTCACCACATGGCGTTGCCTCGTCGCGTTTGATAACGACACACAATCTACAAACTGGACTATGAAAATGGTCACGCAGCGTCTCCGTCTCCCTCGGCCAGCTCGGCCTCCCTCTTCACCTACCCGCGTCTCCTCTCTTCTCCTTTCCCTCTTAAGAGAAGAACCGCCGTATCGGATACGACCAGGCCGACTTTTTCGCGATTCCCGCTAGTCTTGTCGGCGCGTCACTCGATACGTACGTGTTTCTCGCCTGCTACTCCCCTGTTGCGTTCGCATTCCTCTTTCGCATTGAAACACTTGGTCGCGTTACGATATATTGGACGTCCCAATAGTCTTCGTCGAATCCGAAATCGATTTTTTAGAAGATTTATAGATTATAATATCTCAATTTTTACATTTTTCAATCACGTAGAGTTCGATTTATTATAGACTAATAATTAAACCGAGATAAAATCTCTCCCTGTTAAATTTCCGAAAGATATTAAACTTATCTGTCTTATCAAATTTACGGCATAACTTATTCAATAATTCCCTGCGCTATTAGATGCTGATTAGCGTGTTCGGATGCGCGCGGTTTACCTTGCAGATACAGCGGAAGCAGCTCGTGTTCAGGATCTTATCGACCGTGACGTCTTCCCCCTCGATGTCGCAGGTCTCCCGGCTTCCTGTAATCGAACAGCAACAATCGTGATGAAAAGACTGAATAGGTAGAATACACGCGCGCGCTCGCGCGTGATATCGGTTTTATATCGCACAAATATCCCGGTGAGCGCGATAGAGACGCTATAATCACAATGCAGCATTCCAATCGATCGACCTTCGTATGCTAGAGGCTTCCTCGTTCCTTCATACACGTACGTGAGCCGAGCGCTCAAAGATTTACTGTTACGTTTTGGATGGCGATCGTGGATCGTAGATCGGTTATAATAATCGTTTCTAATAACGGTCTAATAAGGCCCAGCGGTAATTCAGTCGCTGAATTAGATATACGATGTACTGAAACGCTTTAGAAATTGCGAACAAGCGAAATGCCGCTTTCTCCGTAATTAAATCGCGATCAGAATTGGAATTAAGTAATTTACAAGTTAAGCTAATTTTAGATGGCACGCGATAGATTTTACCCGGTGACTTTTCTTTCGGAATAATCTTCCGTGGATGTGAGATTATGCGAGAAACATATTTCGCAAATATTTTTCAATAAATTGACAATGAGATGGACTCTTCTAATAACAAGCGGGCTTTTTAACTTCGTTCTCTCTCACTCTTGTTTACCGCCCTACAAAAAATTAAGCGCGACAACGTCGTGAACGTACCTTAGGACGCACCCCAGTCGTTAAATTGTCCATTTCCCAGCGAAAATCATGTCGCGCTCCGCTGCTAGGTCGACGAAGCCGCCATCACCAACGTCCCTCCCGGTTCCCTCGCGCACGTATTCCTGCACACTTTAAGCAACTTTTCTGTAAAACTCCAGCCATTTTTCGCGCCTCTCTCTTTCTCTCTCTCTCTCTCTCTCTTTATTTATTTATTTATACTCTCGAAACGTAATCCGCCGGATCGTGAAATTTTGTAACCAAGTAACGCTTGTTCTCTATTTTCAAATTCCCATTCGAGCAGATACGAGAGAGCGCGCGTTGTTATTACTGTTTGTGGCTCTATTTCTTTGTACTTTTAATTATTTATTCAGACGAAATATCACATTCTAGAGCAGAATAAAATATCGCCTTTCTCACTTTTCTTTTTGTCTCTCTCCTTCTCATTCGTCCTCCTAATGGAGACGATAAGTTTTTCTCCTCGAGAAAGCGCTTTGCGTACTCTGTCACTGCTCTCAGAGATTTAACGCGTCGTGCAGTTTTCGAGGCGGATCCACGTCGTTTATCCCTTCCGACTCAATTATATCTCTTCACGAAAAATCTCACGAGAGAGGATCGACTATTCGCTCCGTTAACGATTTTTCGGACGAACGATTGTAAAATTTCCGAATACTGCCACTCTCTATCGGGGATGTTTAAAGATCTACATTTTTATTATGCGTGACTAAATTGTTCGATTCTAAAATTTAGTTCTGTTTTAACAAGTTTAAGAAGCTTATATCTATACTTTTATTTTACAACGCCAAGAAAAAATGCAAGTATAACATAGTAGTTTAGAATAACAAATTGTCAAAAAAAATTTAATATTTATAACATCTTAAAATCAATGGAAGTATTTTTGCGAGATGCGTAAGAGAAAAAAAGATAAACACTTAATTTCGATCAATTTATAAGTTGATTTAAGAAGTCGATTCGAGAGAAGAATTGATTTAATAATTTCCTTACTTCTTTATTAAAATCGACAAATTAATTTTGTAATAGTGTCATAAAACATTATTGCGCAAAAAGCAAGCAAAAATAATTGATTATTGATTTCAATCGAGCGTAACTTTCATAACTTTTCTAGAAACTCCCCGAAGATGTATCAAACGCCAAAGTGAAAGCGATTAGTATTGTGACTGTTAAACAGGTAGTGAGACATCACGAGAGCTCGCAGAAATCACGTTGTAAAAATAAATGGCAGTAGTCGATCAGCAACCCCTCGTTCGTTTTCGAGACATTAATGCTAATATTATTAATATAAATAACAGTTATTATACTCTTCTGTTGCTTTCGTTAATTATTGGAGAAAAAACTTCCGACATGTTATACTTCAAAGTGCGTAGGAATGCGTGTGCAAGAAAAGTTGGTTGGCGCCCGCGACCGTTTCCCTCTAAACTCTTTCCTTCTTTCTCTCTCTTTCGTTTTTACTTATCTGTACATTCCTTTCTTTCATCTCCCGGTTTACTTCGTTCGTGATCTTCCACGGAAAAGCGGCGAAACAAACAAACGTGTAACAAATCGCGAAACATTTGTGCTTGCCGCATAAATTTAAAACAGTTTTGCATCGCAGCCTCTCTTTCTTTTTTTATTTTTCTTAATTATCTTCTCTCACCTTTCCCCATACGTATTTTCTTTTTTTCTTTTCTTTCTCTTTTCCATCTCTTCCGGGTGCTTTCCTCTTTCTTTCTTGCGCTCCTCGAGCTGTTTGCACGGTTAAAAACTCGGAGAGCAGTCTGAAGAGAGCGCGCAAAAAGTGACATAAAGCTCATGCCGTTCATACCGTCAGATACCAATTTTACGTGTGCGATGAACGTAAATGAATTTGTACGTTCGAGAAAATTAGTACTTTGTTCGCCATGATAATACATTGCACAAGTCATATCTGCATGGAAGCCATATATGCCCACATATATGTAAAAGAATTTCATTTTTTATTTAATTTACATGATTTACAATAAAGAATGCGAATTAAGTAGAAAATTATCATTTATATGCAAGTGTCATAATTCTCAAGAAAATACAGACGTCGTCGGTATACAACGGCAATCAAAGCGTTAAATTGAAATTGAAATTGAATTTCATAAGGTATATAAAATATTAAATTAAATTCTGTACTCAGAACTATAATTCTGTATTCATAATTATAATTATAAAATAAAGTTTCTGACTTTAATGATAGAGAGATTCGAATTGATTTTATCTCACAATCAGAAACTACTTAATCGCGCGCGCGCATTTTCTGAGTTTTCAATTAAATGTCTTGAAAAATAATATTACTTTTAAATTCTATTTATTAATCTAGAGACTTTCTAACTTTTAAATCTAATTTTAATCTAAAATAATTAACAATATGTGAAAATCTTTACGAAAGAAGAATCATGTCCAAATACTATTATTAAAGTTATCCCCTCGGTTATCCCCAACATAGCTTAATTTGCATATTAACAATGTCATTCTTTTCTTGATGATTAGTTCTCATTGCCAACTGCGACAGCAGAGCAATTAAGAACGCGATGCGTTAACTTGTTTATTAGGCTACAAAAAACTCATGTATTTAATCCTAAACTCGACAACACGAAAGAAATAAATCAAATTAAAATATGAAGTGTAAAAAAATTAATCTTTTACTACTTCTTTCACTTGATTTTACTGTGGCATATCGTATTTTATGAAATAGAAGATATTTTTATAATAATAGATTAGGAGAAAACAAGTGCACGAATTTAAGTTACATATTGTATTGTACATTTTTACATCAAATATTTTTCATATTGTATTTCAACTGCAAACAAGAATCTGTACAGGTGCAGATAACAAAAGATATCGACGCCTTATATACACTGTCGAGTTTAGGATTAATTATCGGACGAAACGAAGCCGCGCTGCGTGAACCTAATCGGTCTCGAGCGGCGCTAATGCGGCGCTAAAACAGGCGCTCTCGATACGAGATACGTCGGCATCCCGCGGCTCCGTCGTATCAGAAACATTTATGGAGCTCGTACTTCGCTCTCGCGACTTCCACGAAACAGCGCGGGTCGGTCGATGATTAGCCCCGGATAGGCAGCGGGAATGCAATTTCCTGAAAAGCACGTCGCGTCGCTCGTCCTCGATTACGCCGCGCGAAGAGAGTTCCCGCTGACGAACGCGGACAATTTCCGAGATGCACTTAGCCACGCCGCGCCGTGGCGCGTTGCGAGTTGCGACGCACAGTCCCGAAAAGGGACGCGGAGGGAGGGACAAGGGGAGATTTACGCACTCGTTGCACTCGGCGTAAGTGGCCGTTCAGGCCGAACTTACCGCTCGTTGTTCCGCGCGGATACGGTTACGCCCGATGTAATTTCCGACGAAAATTACGCACGCGCGCAAAAGAGTATACCCAGGATGCAGTTACCATCGTAAATTGAGCTCGGCCGGACTGACCTCATGAAATCGACTTTATTGTCGCTGACCGATATCTTTCATAATACGCGCAATTATCGATGAACGATTGTAAGCCGCGAGAATAAATCAGTCGTCCGTTAAGAGACATCGATCGTCGAAATCATGTCGCAGCTGTATTATTTGAATAAGTAGTTTGAAAAAATTATACGGGGATAAATAACTTCGACTATACAGTTCGACTACAGTTATACAGAAATGTTTGGTATTTTACAATTAGTCAAGATTCGATCTTTTCAATTCTTGATTATAAAGTCCTTTTTTATCGCAGATCTGTGTTAAATCATTTCATTATGAATATATGAATTCGTGAATGAGTGAAGTATTAATTCGACACAGTCTATTCTGTTCACGGACACACATGAGTCATGCAACGAAGAACACGGCTGATTCTGTATGTATAATTTTGACGAATATTCGACAATTTATTGTCCGACTTCACTTTGACTATTGGTCCATATTCATGGGTGAGATCTACTGTATTTAATGTAAATCAATGCGTCGACACTGTTTTTTTTATGGATATTGATACGAGACATTTGTAATGCGTTTAGTTTTTTATTGTTCTGAAGAAGGCCATCAAGTAAGGCACGAAACGTTAACGACTGTATACTATTATTGAAATTATTAAATATAATTTTAACATCTTATAAATGCTCGAAAATTGGCCGTTTTAAATTATTTAGCTATTCTGTCTAGTTTACTATTCTTTAAACTGAAAAAAATTGTACTGTTATTTTTGTGCTTATATCTTTTTAAAAGACATTATTTCAAAAGATATAAGAACGAAAATGTAAGAAAAAAATTTTTTTTGTAACGCAAAATAGTCACTTAAATAATTTCTACATAAAAATTTTATTAATCACATTATCAGTTGAGCGGTAAAATAGATGATAAACCAATACGCACGACTCTTCTACGCGATACATACATACTATATTTGCCCATACAAAAAAATACAAAAAAAGTAATACAAAAAATAAGGAAATTACAATAAAATATCAAGATTAAAATGTTCTTCATAAAATATTGACTCAAATACTTTCATATGAATCAATTTAACTGCAAAAAGATGCTTAATAATTATAAAACATTTGATTAATCCTTTGTATCCATAATAAATTTAAAGAATATATATACATATATGTATATTCGATACGCCTCAGAAATACTTTAAAAATACTGTTTTGTAATTTCAAATATTTTTAAAAAATCGTGATTCCTATACCTTGTAATATTACGAATATTTCGTAACTACACTCTTCAAACGGCTCCCGCGAAGTTAAGGTAAACGCGTAAGATTCTTGAAAAAATAGTCGCAAAATGGCACACAGAGAGTGTTTAAAAAAATTTTTTTATGCGAATTTTCCTGACTAATTTACCGGTAACTCGCATAAATTCACGAATGAACAAAGCGTTCCGCGAGGCGGAGACGGCGACCTGCTCCGCTCGCGATGACTCGTACGAGCCGTGAGATTCGACTCGATTCCGGCGCAAATAGAACGGCAGATAATGGAGATAGGCTAAGAATAGAGCATTTAAAAGGCGTAAATGGAGCGTAACGGGTTCGCACGCGCGCGAATGCACCGCGAGATATAGCAAAGCAGCTGGAATCGGGAATTCGATCGCTTCGGCGGCAATGCTACTCGCGCGCAGCAGCTCTTGCCGGGTCCGCGTGTTCATGTACCGCGGAAGTATCACTCGACACAACTATTACGAAACGCGAACGAAAGCAAGATATAAAAACGTGGTTTTACGCCGTCCACTCTTAACACGCGATGTTCTCTGCTGCTTTCTTTCGTCGATTTCTTTACATCATTTACATGTAAAACAGCGAGAATATTCGTAATTATTATCAAAAGAATGATATAATATTGTAGTGATCAACTTGAGGCTATAAATTTAATGTGTGTCAATAGAAACCGAAAGAGAAGGAATTTTTAAACAGTTCTATGAACATCATAGATTAAGGGATAATTATTTATAAATGCAATAATGTGAAATCCAGTTTGCAAAATTTAGATTAAACATATAGCAGCATGATTATATGGCATAATTATTGTTTTCTTTCGCTACTGAAAACAATAAATATAACAATAATACTCTCGTCATTTTTAGCCCCTATTAGGAAAACGTAAAACTTGATATAATCCATATTATAGCGATTTGTGTAATTTATAACGATGCGATTGTTTCATAATTGCGGTAAATTTATTCGCGTTTACGTGTAAAACTTTATCAAAGAATATTGTTTTAATCTCATCTGCATTAATCCTAGAATATTACAAAACTATTTAGTATTATATACTATTCACATTTGGATAAAAAATTACTGATTATAGTCTATTAACAAATAAGAACACTTTTTTCCCTTTATGACGTGTAAATTTTAAGATTTTAAAAGATTTTATAACAAAAAATATAGATATATATACAGGGTGTCTCTGCACTCAGTGTAAAACTGACACAGCGGCTTTAGCACATGGAAATAAGTCGAAAATATCTAATTCTATGTCCGAATCCGAACGGTCTCGGAGTTATAATAGGGTGTTAAAGTTGCTTTCTTAAGGAAGCAGTAGATGTTGTTTAATATTCTTTATTCTGTTTAAAATGTTTAAAGCTTTACAAAAGGTGCTCAAAAATTTCTCCGTCGACTTAACTTTTTAGCACAAATTAATAAACTGTTTCAAGCTTTTTGAAAAATGTTAGGAGTTTCGTAGATGACATCGGCAGCATTAAGTGTCAGTTGCCATAGTTGTGGATCTCATTCTGGTAGAGCACCCTTTGTAAAGCTTTAAACAGAATAAAGAACATTAAACAACACTTACTTTAATTTATGTTCTCTTACAAAAGCGATTTCAATACCCTATAATTCCGAAACCATTTGGATTCGGACATGTTTATTCGACATTTAAACTTATTTTTATGTTCTAAAGCCGCTGTACCAGTTGTGGCACTGAGTGCAGGGACATCCTGTATATAAATTAAAAAGTAGATAAGAAACAATAATAATTTTCATCGAATATTTTTTTCACTTACTGTTAGCATAATATTCCAGGATTACTTTAGAACTTTGTCGACAAACACTCGTAGTAATGTTACTTTAATTTACTATGAGTACGCACTATACGTATCGAGAATACTCTCGGAGACCAGCGCGATGGCACTTTTCGCCTATACCTACTAAACTGGATGCAACCGAATGGCATCGATCGAATTTCGATGTTGGCACCTTTCTAGTTGGAGCCCGATCATTAGTCAGCTATCAAAATAACACGCTTGAAATCGTGTCGCGCGTGCTTTCTGTGTGCGCTCGTAATACTCACCTATTATACTTTCCGAGGCGGCGTCGCAGCGGTGTGGCGTCGAAAGGAAGGCCAGGGCCAAAGCCAAAGCCAGTGTCGAAGGTAATCGTGTCAATTCCATGTTTAGATGTACCGGATCTCGGACCCTGCCGCGACAATTTGCTGAAAGAACGACAAACAAGATAATCATTAAATCACATGCCTCCACGTGCTTATTTTCTTCGATTGTGCAACAAAATGGCAAAACACTTAAACAGATTTACATTTTTGAAACACGAGCCAATGTTTACATGTTAAAAATATGCCTTCAATTAAGATAACGCCATCTTGAATTCTCGCGCTAATTTTGAACAATAACATTGGACAAACTGTAATAAATTCGCGGAACAAAGCAAAAATCTTGCTGCGCAAAATGCAAGCGGCACATATTTCATTTCAATTTATACGAACTTAGCTTTCTGGAATAATTCCGAGAGAAGCATTAATCGTGAAGATCCAGTACTCCGCGTAATGCATAATACGCACCGTCTCTCTGCGCGTTTAGAGAGCTTACAGTAGATTTAAGGATATCATCAAGTGTATTGTCACCATTAGCATTGATACATGTAACAGTCTGATGCACTTCCGCGATTTCCATACCTACGTTTAGACGCATAAATTTTCGTGGCGCCACGATGCAACGTGAATTATATGCGTATATTTAACCTTTCGTCGACCGCGCGCTCATGTTTTTATTTAAAACTGCAAATTGTTCAATCACTCTGCGAGCCTCGGAATTACGTGCTATTACTCGAAAAATTTCAGTGAAAGAGGAAGAGCGTTTCTCGAGGGCCGAGGGAAACGGGCGACACGGCTCGAAAGGAAAGTAACGGAATGTATTGCGACTTGTATTATTCCCATTTGTTGAGAACCCTGGCGTCCGATACATTATTCAACACGTTAAATGCATAAATCCAATCCGAGATCCAATTCAAATGCGGATGAGCCTAACGAGTCTTGCTTGATTAATGAGAATTCCAGCGGTCGCGAGGATTAGAATTCACGTTAGCGATCCCCGCCGTTGCGTTGCCGATCACCGGAGTATCTGTATCTTGTTTAATCGATTACGAAACCAATATCTATGCGGCTGTATCTTTTGTATGCAACGCGAATATCGTTGCACCCACGACGAAATATCTCTATGCCGGTGTGGTGACTCGACAAATCTATTAATACATGCACACACGTATACGCTCGTCGAGGAGGCGCGCGTACGCGCCCATATCGACAGGCACGATCGTAAAAAAAGGAAAGCAAAAAAAAAGTTACAACAGTCAACCGGCCGGGCCGCGAATTGAGAAATATTTATGAGCCGATTTTTTCGATCGGGTGGCTCCGGGAATATTCCTGAACGCGTTGCGCCGCGCGAACGAATAGATTGTGTCAAGTGCGAAGATAAGTATATTAATCACGCTCAGTTTTAGTTACTCGGGTCGTTTATTTCGAAAGTCGTTTAGGTCAGCTGAGACATTTGGATCGCCATACAATTTTATGCCGTGCTTTCATCGTATATTTATGATATAATAATATGCGACAAACTAGTATGGAAAATACTAATAGGTTGATTGTATATTTTACTTCTCATCCCTTATCTGTAATCTCATGAAACGCTACTGAGGTACACGCTATTTAAAAAAAGAGTAGATAGCCACGCTCGCAGATTTTATTTGTGGGATTGTCTTTCTTGTATACGAAAAGAACGGTTTTGCTGAAGTATTTAAAAATTTAGCTATAGATACAGATCTGAAAATAATTTTGTTACACCATCAAATTAATTGTAGGACACTCAAACTGATTGCTAAAATGTCAAAACTTTTTACAGCATTATCATACTTCAGCGACCTAGCTACTATAATTATTTTGATGGGGCAACACAATTATTTTCAGATCTGTATCTAGCTCAATTTTTAGATACTTCAGCAAAACCGTTTTTTCCGTGAATATAAATTCCCTAACGGAATAAATGCTATTCTTTATTCCTCTCAATCGTGATACGACTCGGGCGGAAAAGATGACGAATTTCGAGGAATATTATCTCCTGATAAATTTCCACATTCTCCGATCCACAATTCGAGGCAGCTTCTGCCCCCGCTGTGCATAATGACGCGTATAATGACGCGCCAGCACGAGATCGTTTGCAATCATGCGGATTGTTTGCACGAGCGAGACGCGAACAAACAATACTCGCGTGACGCTTGTTTGCGAGAGACGTGCAAGGGGAGTGCTCTCTCGCTCTTTCTCTCTCGTACTACGTAGTAGGCGGTTTACATGCAGACTCGGTTGTCTAATCCAAATCGCAGATGCCGACGATGTAACTAGACTGCTAACATCCCGCGCAATTACACATAAGTATAAGTTTGTAACGTGATATATGAGAGCGGAAACTAGGACTGTAAATATTCAAACAGCGATATCGTTCGAATAAATCCGACACGAGGATTCGTCTCCGATTCAAAATATTTGTACGTTCGAAATACTGGAATATCGAGTTTTGTACTATTCCGTCTATTCGAATATTCGAGTATATGCTAGGAATTTAGTAGACTGGTCGTAAATGTTAAAAAATGCAATGAACATCGAGGCGCATCGTAAAATAAAAATTGCTAATAATCCCTATTAAATGTCTTCTTGATGTCTGTTTGATATTTGTACGCATGAAATATATTCCGGTTATTATACATCGCTGAAGACGAGAAGATAAATTTACGTGACCCATGCCAATTGTAAACTTGTAAAAGATGCCAGGTTTCTCCACACACGTAGGAAAATAACATGGGAAGATTAGATACTTTTAACGCGGATACAAATAGCAATTACCGAGATTACTGCAACAATAGATACTAATTTGACAATTAAGGATCATCTTTAATTCTTTCTACGAAAGCGCATGCAAAACGCGTACATTAATCATTTACAACATTTATACAACAAAAGTAGGCGGAAGAAGGGATGTACGTGTAGCGAGAAAATAACTTATTCCCAAGAAAAAAACCTAGCTTTTGATTAAACGTATAATGAACGCTTGTGTACTATCAAACACTACATATTGCAGTAGATTGAAAAAAATAAAGAGAAACTTTATTAACTATAAAAAAATTTGTCGCTATAAAACGTAAGAATAATCTAATTTTTTTATCTCTCAATAGTAACTACTCGCACAGGACACTATAATAATGATGCACAATCGGCGAGCAATTCAGCTTGTGATGCAGAATGTTTTGCACGATTATTCGCGTAAGGCAAGCAGGCGGACAGGCAGTCGTAAAACATCAGCGTGGAAAATTTTCCCAGTGCATACGCCGGCGTGTGCATGAAAGTATATCAAATTCGCGAGTGTGTGGCGAGTCTTAAGTGGAACAGCTCTATTATGGGGCGTGATTAATAAATATTCGCACGTCACGCAGGTAGAGGCCGGGTTCACCTGATCTATTCGCCAGCTGTGCGTGCACCAATGCGTCGACAATCGCGCCGCCGCGCCGCGCCGCGCCGCTTGTCATTGATGTATTTGGCGGCGACAATGTTGGGCAACATTTATCAGAGACGAGAGAGAAAGAGCGTGCCCATATACTATTTTAAGCGTTTATTTAGGAAGGAAACGTGCTCGGGCAGATGGGGGGGAACGTGATGACGCTTGGTCGTACATACAGTCGCCACTTGTACTCGCATACGCACAAGCGTAATTACATTTAAATAGAAATTATGACTCATCGCCGCTCATGCTCTGCATGTCTTCTTACCGCCATGCATCTCTTTAGTTCTCTTAAAAATATTTTCTCGATACGAGATCCCGTTTTTTTTTATCACATCTCTCAATTTAATAATTCACACGCTAACGAACGTCTTATTTGAATCACTATTTATTAAAGTTTCGCTCTAAATATTGTTAGACCTAAAATATATAATAGAGCTATAAGTGCTAAAGTTTAATCTTATGTATACATTAGATGTCGTGAATAATTATATTGTAATTATATTATTTTAAAATAATTTAAAATTTTGAATATTTTCTTTGTAAAACTGTAAAAGAAATGCTAGATATGAAATAATAGTTGTGTTTTACGTGCATTGGATAAATTTTCCATTTGTTTCTCATAATGAGGGAAGACTTGCATCGTCGCTACTATCACAGTTAGGCTTTTAGTCTTGCGTCTCTATTTCTATACTTTCTTATATTTATATCTTTTTTTAAACATGATGTACTTTTATCTACCATAGTTTTGTTCATTTCGGAAAGACAATTCCGATTCATACTTGCAAAATTTCGCGCTACAGGAAGGAGCTAGCATACGTATCCGCAGTTTTCGCCTTCGTCCTCTTCGCACGTACTATTCAACTATTAATAGTCATTACCACTTTCACTCAGTGCCGTTATTACTGCTCCTCCTCTCCGCTACGACCGCCTCCCGGCGGTCGTTCTCGTTTTGCTTCGGACTTTAATTAGGATTCCGTCATGACGCGAGCTCCCCGGGCTCCAGCTGCTTCGAATACGTTTTTTCTGAGCGCATCGCTAATTCGCCGACTAAGCGTGCCGATCGAATCTCGGCAGCGGCGAATAAACTCGTAACAAGCGGCGCCCCAAAGGGAAGTTCGAGGCTCGTTGCACTGCAATACGCTAAATTAGATCGTAAGCACCGCAGGAATCCGAAGAGGCGTCCGCTAGGCTGATATAGTTACTATCGGCAGAGTTACTGTTTTGATGCTGAGAAATACCAATACTCTCGTTTCACTAGTTTTGTATCGAGACATTATACACGTATTTTTATTACGTAATTTATGGTATTAATGAAAACTAATGCTAGTACATATACGCGGAGAAAAAAAATTTTCTGCATTTTAGTAAATATTAGTTTGCATACAATTGTGACTCCATTTATTAAAATGAAGAAAATTTTCCTTTTTATTAGTATATTTTTTTCTCAGTGAATACACATATAGGTACTAATAAAGAAATTTTTTTTCTTTATTTTAGTAAATGGAGTCACAGTTGTATGCAAACTAGTATTTACTAAAATGCAGACAATTTTTTTCTCAGTGTACAACTTGTTCTTTTTTATTATGCTTGATATAATACGATATAATACGGTATAATACATATTCTTGGTTACAAAACAAATAGTATTAAA